TCTCCTCTGCCGACGTGCTCTGCGGCTTTGCTCTGCTTTGCGCCTGGGCTGTCCGCTGCCCGCGTGCTCTGCGGCTTTGCTCTGCTTTGCTCTGCTTTGCGCCTGGGCTGTCCGCTGCCCGCGTGCTCTGGGGCTTTGCTCTGCTTTGCTCCCCGTCCCCCTGCCCGCCGCCCGCGTGTTCCGCTGCTTTGCTCCCCGTCCTCCTGGTCTGCAGACCAGGGGGACGGGGAGCAAAGCAGAGCAAAGCCACGGAGCACGCGCGTCTGGGCTGCCCGCTGCCTGCGTGTTCCGCCGCTTTGCTTCCTCTCCCTGGTCTGCTGGAGACCAGGGAGAGGGCCCTGTTTGTAAGTGCGGATCCGACATAAGTCGGATCCGCGTAACTCGGGGACTGCCTGTAATTCTAAAATGTACTAATGAGGGCCATTATTGATATGCCAGAAACTTAGGTGCTCAAAGTAACAAATCTGCAAATATTTGTTTTTCCTTTAAGCCTGGATTGTGGTTGGTCATGCCAGGACTGTGGCCAGACCACCTAATGCTGGAACCCATTATGAATCCAGTACTTTTCCGCTCAAAGTGAGAAAAAAAATTAGACGGAACACACAGAATTCCTGCCTTTTGCAAAAAGGATATAAAGGTAGAAAACCAAACAATAGGAAGTGACTAGATGCTAGGAGCCCCCTTCCTACCAATCAAGATACCTGCTGGAAACATCTAAGACTAAAAGAGGGGTAGGATTGGGCCCGAGCTAGGAGACCACCTAGCTCGTGAAAGAGGATTAGAGCTGTTGGCATTTAACAAGTTTTAGTGTATTAGGATTAGCATGTTTTGTTTACTTTGTTTTAGTAATTTACTTTCATCTGTCTGTTGTCACTTGCAATCACTCAAATCCTACTTTTTACACTTAATAAACAACATTTTTATAAGCAAGTCCAGTGTAAATTGTTACATGGGGGGGGGAGGGGGGGCGGGCGGGGGAGCAACCACTGTGCATCTCTCTCTTTTATTGAAAAAGGAAGCTAACCTGATGAGTTTTCTCTGTGTAAAACTTTTATACAGAGTAAGATGAATTTATTCTGAGTTTTGATCCTCTTTGGGGCGGTGTTCCAGGGTGCTGTCATTGGCCTTATAGCTAAGCTCTCCCACAGCTGAGCTGGCATAGTATCTGTATTGATCTGATGGGGGCTGCTACTTCAAATCTGTGCCTTGGCTGGGGGAGACCAGAGCTTCTGGCCCAGAAGGGCAGGGTGGTGGGGCATAGCAGAGAGCAAGCTGGCAGGCTCAGTGGCTTGACCAGCACAGCAAATGACAGTCGCAAGGGGAACCCTTGTGATTGAACTCGTCACAAATGAAATTCTGAAATGAAATTCTTAGTTAACAAAAGAGTTTGGAGGGAAACTACTGCCCCGCAATGGAGCTCAGATTATTCAAACCAAGTGAGTGGAAGAAACTATGAGAATCTATACGGCTATACGGCTACAAACACTATATTTGTCATAACAATACAAATATAATAACGAGTAGACTACCAACCTCTCGACAGAAAGCAGATGGTGAACCTGCTGATAGAGGTCAAGGAAACAATGACCTGTATGGTAAATAAATCTGTAACCCAAATCTAAACTGAGTTGTTTTAGAGACCACATTTCTCAGACTATTACACAGCTGAATCTTTAGTTCACATGCCTATAAGCAGCAAGGTGCCCAGTAGGTCTGGGATACTAGGGACATATAAAAACTATATGGATAGTTATTTAATAATAAAAACTGCCAAAAACCTGAGAATAGAGTGATAGCCAGGTTAAGCATATCTGTATTTGAGACATTTTCTTCCTGCCAGATGACAGAATATCATCTGCATCTACATGCTGCCCACATCGCCGCCCACCTCCACCCTCAGCCACTTGCTGTGGCCAGACTGAGGTCGGCCACAGGGGAGGAAGCGATAGCAGCAGCAGCTGGGGATGGGAGGGAGGGGCAGAGCTGAAGCCCCTTTTCTATCTGGGGAAATGCCACCCTACTCACTCACCCCCTCTACCAAGACCCTACACCCCCACTTCCTCATACCCCCCCAAGCTGAGACCCCAACTCCCTCACACTCCTTCCACTGAGACCCTGTACCCCTATCCCTCTCACCCCTTCCAGAGAGAACCCCCACACTCCCAGCCTGCTCCTGTACCCTCCCCACAGCCAGACACCTACTCCCAGAGAGAAGGGGATTGTTGAGCATAGCAAACGGGGGGGCACAGCCCCCTAGTATGCAGATGTGTGTGTATGTATTTAAAAAACATAGCACATTAAGCACACCATAGATAATTTTAAGAGTAGTAAAATCTCACTTGTTTCATACTGTTTACTTTTCACTATTTATAGTTTTCATTCTCGGAAAATTCTCAGAAAAATAATCTATTCGGTTCTGTTTTCTGGTTCTCATGCACTAGCATAATGTGGCAATATTTGAGATGCAAAATATTGGGGTACGTCTACACTGCATGGCTAAATAAATACCCCGCATCTACACAAGATGTTATTTTGAAATGCTTTTCAAAATACAGTAACGGACATGCTATTTCGGCATCCTGATAACCCTCGTTCCACAAGGGTTAAGGGATGTCTCGAAATAGTGTGTTATTTTGAATTTGACACTGCATAGTCGCGCCAAATTTCAAAATAGATTCAAAATAAGATATGCAATTTGCGTAACTTATTTTGAGTTTAGGGTGTTGTGTAGATGCATCCCAAAAGAATTTAGAAGAGTCCATAGAAACTTTTCTACTGTTCTTAGACAATGCAAAAGCTTAAGTCCATTGTTGACCTAAGTTATCCTTATAAGGAAACCAAATTCCAGAATCACATGAGGGGGGAGGGGGGCCATGGGGGAGGAGTGAGAGTGTGTGCGTGCGCAGACCCATAAAACAAGCAGTCAGAATAATTCAGATGGCATGACACAAGTGCTTCTTCACATGATACCACTAGAGGAACTTTTCTTTTACACCGTTTCCTTTGTGTATTGCGCCAAAGCAAGCTCTGTGCTGGACTGAGTTCCATCTACTAGGACAGAGCAGAGCATATCAAGAGTGCATCGGTCTCTAGCAACTATCCAGGCCTGGTATATTTGGGGGGACGGGGAAGAGGGGGAAGTTGCTCATGCCATTTATGGGGTTCTTTCTTGCTAATAGGGCAGGAGTGGGGAACCGTTTTTGGGTCGGGGCTGCTGATCCCCAGGCTATTAGATTGTGTGCCTCAGCCCCATGGTGAGATAGTTGGGGCGGGGGTTGGAGTGTCAGTGCAGGTTCCCCAATGCTGTAGAGAGAAGTCCCAAGCCTCAGGGATGAGATCCAGGCAAGCTGGGGGCTGCAGGTTCCCCACTCCAGTAATAGGGCAAGACAATTTTTTAATGGAACGACAGCCATTTCTGCTAACTAAAGGTAATTTTACTATTTGAGGTGAGGAGCAGTGTTAAGCTAAGTGCTTCAGTGTTACCCAGGAGAGATTCCAGTGCCACCCAACTGATTAGCAGAGCCAGTAGCATGTGTTTCTAATGGTGGTGCACATCTGCACTTAGCTTGGATGGAAAAAATTAGAGAGAACACACTGGTTAGAAGAGTTGTACTTTTAGCCTGCACTGGTCTTTTTTATTATATCAGCAATCTTTAGTGAAGAGAGCTACAGTAACTAGTTGCAATAGGCAGACAAGGTGTAAATGTTAAGCAGCTTGTACTGAAATACAGCAAACAGTAACATTCAAGCCTAGGTTGCTTTTAGGACTCTTATTTTGAGTTATTCTAAAGGACAGACACACACTTACCCCAGAAATAGTCCAAAATCTAAATTTCTAGCATGGTACAGCTTTCCTGGATTTAGAAAAGAAATGACTTTAGTATATTTTTTTAAAATAGACATGTCTTGGAGGTTAAGGCTCTGTCTGAATAAAGAAAAACAGGCAAGCTGAACTCATAGCAGATGTAAGATTTTATAATTGTATGTTGTTGTGACTGTTCTTAATATACCAATATGGATGCGAAGTAAGACCATACTTTATGAAGAATAATTGAGGAGTCTAAATAAGGTACTTTTGCCAAAAAAATATTCGGAACAAGTCTGCTTCTAGAACTTTTCCTTTTTTAAATTTAATGTTTTCTAACCTTAGCATTTTTTTCCTCTGATGAAACGAAACAGGTCCCATTGTTTTCAATATCAAAATGAACTCCAATCCCCAACATTATTTGAGCATATAAATACAATTCTCCCAGTTTTCCCCATTTCAAATAATTTTTTAATAAAATAGAATGTTATCAAATTTACACAATAGAACACCAGACTGAATACATAATCAGGTAACTTTAAAAATGCTATATCTTCTTGGAGATTTGGAAGGGCATTTCAACTATGCTAGTAAATCTGTGACATAGGTGAAGTTGTTGCAGCTTATAGATTGCTATTAGTTTTCCAGAGTCTAAAGCAGTTCCAATTTTCTAATTAATCCAGGGTTGGACAAACATTTTTTCAGGGGGAGCCACTTAATGAATTTTGGTCCATGGTTATGGGCCAGGTCCACCCCAGAAGGGGGAGGACCTGATGTGGAAGAGGCAGGGCTGGGGACTAGTCTCTCCCCAGAATTGTCTGGGGCCAGAGGTTTTGAAATAAAGAAATTAAAAAAACAAAAACAAAAAACAAAACAAAACCAACCCACACAGCCTGGCTATTTAAAAGGCTCACAGTTCCTGCTGCAACCATGAGCCAGGAGACGTTGAAACAGGATCCTACTACCTGGAAATGCAGTGGCACGAGCATCAGGATATAAATAGGAAGTGGCAGATGCAGTCGTAGGCTGCATCAAAGTGTTAGGCAGGCCGCATCTTGCCCAGATCTGGGTTAATCCACAACTATGTATGAGGGTTTTGTTCTAATTGAGTATTTGGTTTACTCTGTTTGTAAATGTTTATGAGAAGAGTGATTGTGCAATATCAGAACTCATTTCCATGAAGGGGAAAAAGCAGCAAATGAAATCTTCATGCCATTTGTTCACCGAATTCTTTCAGAAATGTAAGACTCTTTTTGAGGCAACTCAAGTTAGTGCCTGTGCAGTTTAGAAAGGTGAAAGAAGGGAATAAGAAAACAAAACATGAAATCTAGTCCTCAGAGAACATGGCAACTATGATTTTTTCCATTCAGTAGGGAATCAGCCACTTAAGATGATCCGATTTAAAGTTTTATAATGCCATCACCCTAATATCTGAGCACCTTCCATATAAAGTTAACTTGTACATAGCACTCTATCTGTAGATCTAAGTGCTTTAAAGCTCAGTATTATTTCTACTTTCCAGAAGAGGAAACTGAGACAGAGGAAAATGACGTTGAACAAATCCCTTCATCCAGCAAGACAGCAAAGAAGAGATGCTAGCAACAGCAAAATTCCTAGTGGATTACTAGGAAAGCTCAACTAAAAAGTATTTACACAAGACAAAAGCCAGAAAGACATTGTTTCCCTAAGATTCACAATAAAAGTAGCAAAGAACAGACTTTACCTGTTTTGTCTTCTGCTACTATAGAAGTGCATACGGTAAAGATTTCATAGAAGATATTGAATAGAAGAATTTCTCCTAGAAAACAAGAAGAAGGAACATTCAAACTGCCAGACTGTCAATAAAAACCAGTAACTATTAGAAAGAAGTCTATTGGAGATAGGAGCATTCTACAACACTTTGCTAGAATTTCAGTTTTACTCTCTTGGGACTTAAGTCAAATGGCCAGTTCATTTAAAGGCAAGAGCCTCACAAGATACAAGGAGCTTCAGTATTTTGAGAACTAATGTGGGGACTATTTACTGGGCTTGTTTAGTTTGGAAAAAAGAAGATTAAGGGGGGACATGATAGCGTTTTCAAATATCTAAAAGGGTGTCACAAGGAGGAAGGAGAAAATTTGTTCCTCTTGGTTTCTGAGGACAGGACAAGGAGTAATGGGCTTAAAGTGCAGCAGGGGAGGTTTAGATTGGACATTAGGAAAAAATTCCTAACTGTCAGGGTGGTCAAATATTGGAATAAATTGCCAAGGGAGGTGGTGGAATCTCCCTCTCTGGAGATATTTAAGAACAGGTTAGATAGATATCTGTCAGGGATGGTGTAGGTGGAGCTTGGTCCTGCCTTGAGGGCGGGGGGCTGGACTCGATGACCTCTTGAGGTCCCTTCCAGTCCTATTATTCTATGATTCTATGATTCTCTTGAGCAGCTATGTGCCCACCCAAATCTGATGCAGAACAAGGAAACCTATATTTTCAGTAACTTGCATCATAGAAAATCTTCAGCGTTTCACTACTCATGATGCTCCCACATGGCTAAGAGTGTTGGGAAAAGCACAAATCAATGGATCTCCTGATCTACATTGATTCTGATAAAGAAAATGGAGCACACAAAGATATATTATGGGAGTCTGCACACACCTTACTTCAGCATGTAGAATACATACACTGCATGCCTACCTAGCATGGGTATCAACAGCAATGTAGAGCAGTGGTGGGCAACCTGCAGCCCATAGTTTCCATCCATGTAGTTTTTTTCTCCCTTCCAGTATTACTAAAGTGACGTGCATGTAAAGCAAGGGCACATGAAGTGAGGTGCATGCTGATTGCTGATTGCACACAACACTGACTGAGAGCTGCACGCTCCCTCTGCATCCAATCAAAGCGCTGCTGTGATTCATCTAGCCCACTCCACAAATTCCAGGTACACAAGCACAGTTAGCAAAACTACTCTATCCCATCTTGGTTATGACAATTCTGTGGCCACCTATGCAGCTCATTTACTACCTTTGCTTGCCCATCACTGGCGTACAGGGTGAGGCATTGCTTGGCCAAATAAAGTTACTCCTGAATCCTGGTGGTATCTATCCTACAATGATCTCTACATGCCCAAAGCAGCATGTCCCCAGTCTACAATGCTATGACTTACACGTGGATACAATCTGCTTTTTACTTTGGCATACATACCTTACATACTACTGCCAGTACAGACATAGCCTTTCTGGGAAAGAAAGCAATCTAACTCCCCACCTCGTCCTATAGCGCATTGGGTGTAAGAAATGCAAAGAACCTCACCAAAGGAGGACTGAGACATCTAGTAGTCATGGATTGAGAACCCCCATAACTCCCAGCAGTAGATTTGCTTCACAAGGCCATTGGGGAGATGGCCCAGCTGGATAAAAAGATTACATGTTGCAATCTTTCAAGTGTCATTTGCTGTCATTATGTTCCTATAGGCACTCTTCATTTATAGCATCACAAATTGCTTCACTAAATTACCAACTGTATATTGAATAATTAGATAATGGAGGCTAATGTGATTGACAAATACACTGCACTTTTAGAGAAGAAAAAAAATGGAAACAGACACTATGAAACTGAAATATTGACAATATTACCTGGAGGAATGCCTGAAGCATTTGCTATCCCTTTGAGCTCTTCATTGAAAGGGTAGGGAAGAGTGGAAATCAACCAAACCTGAAAAAAAAAATCTAGTTTAAATTGTAACTGAAGATGAATAATAGCTTTGTCTTTAAACAGGGGCTCTCCTTATATTTACATCTTTTTAGGCTGACACTGTAATTTGGCCATTTAACATTGCTGCCAATATTTACGGGGTGTGGAAGAAAATGAAAGGCAAAGAACCACCTTAAGAATAAAAATTAGTTTATTAAAATCTGTACAGTGGAGATGAGCACAATAGCCACTTAATTTTTGAGACCACAGACATTAATAAAGAGATAAGTGTAGTCACAGTTAAGACCAAGACAAGTCCATGAATCATTAACAGTAACGCTGACTAGGGGAACCCCTACCTACACCACCCATTCCCTGTCAGAGGAATGGGAGAAAGTAGGATGTGGTATGCCACAGTGCCTTCTAATCCAGTGACACGAGACTGTTGTAAATTGGGTAGGGACAGGGTTGGCCTACTGTACTTTCAGACTAAAGAGAGCAGAGGCATCAAATGTTATGCCTACATTGCAATTGGAAGTGTGCTTCCTATTCAAGGAAGGCAGATACACTAACTCTACTTAAGCCAGCATGGCAAAAATTGCAATGTGGGCATTGCAGCAGGTCTGTAGTTTGGATTAGATGACCATGTACAAGCACTCCTGACTCCTCGGATCTGTACTCATGTGGCTAGTCTAAAGGCAATATCCACAATGCTATTTTAGCTCACTAGCTCAAGCACAACTAGCATGGGTGGGGCTGTTACCTTGCTCAGGTCCTATACCAAATTTAGATTGAAGATTTGACCCAAGAATCTTTAACTTCAAAGAGCAAGACATAAAAGGCATTTCAGAACCACTACGACTGTTTCAAGTGTGTTTCATTATCTAAAGAGTTTAAGATAATCATTTCAGCTAGTCAAACAGCTGAGAAGTCTAAAAATGTACAAAGAAGAAAAGGGAAATTGCACTGTACACACATTTTACAATTATGATCAGTAGATTTTAATACTAGATTTGCCGTCTCTCTTGCTATTATCCCTTTTGCCCTTTGCAAAACTGAACATAGTACTTCTACTTTTAACTCCAGATAGTACTGCTGCTTCACAGAACTTTACTGTTTCAAATCAGTTTTGCTACACTTATATACTTCCTATTTATGCTAGCAGTTAAAAGGGAGGGACCACCATGCTGCTATTAGTCCAAAAACAAAAAAAGGGTTCTGTGACCATTTGGTAAATACACCTATACTGTTCTGGTCAGACACTTACTGCACATGTAATGGACAAAAAACTGACTACACTAAAGAGTTCAGCACAGCAGAATGAACAGCATTTCAATAAATCTGTTTTGTTAAAGAAACCAAGCCTTTTTTTAAGTGGCAAATAAATTTTCCTATTGGATAGGAAAACTAAGTTCAAACTTTGGGAGAATTCCTATGAACTCAAGAAGCTGAACACTTGTGGGTTTCCCACCCCTCAATTTAGTGTTTGGTTTCAGGTAAGTAAGTTCAGTAAACTCCAGAAAATAGAATCTAAGAGCAGGCAAGTATAACATCTGAAGTCTGTTTCTGGAGGAGTAGTAGGATTAATCTGCAGCAAGGGAAAAATTAGGTTAGATAGTAGGGAAAAACTTTCTAATTATAAGTGTAAGTAAGGCCTGGAATAGACTTCCAAGGGAGAGTAGCTAACAGGGGAGGGATAGCTCAGTGGTTTGAGTATTGGCCTACTAAACCCAGGGTTGTGAGTTCAATCCTTGTGGAGGCCATTTAGGGATTTGGGGCAAAAATTCATCAGGGATAGGATTTGGTCCTGCTGTGAAGGCAGGGGACTGGCCTCGATGACCTAGCAAGGTCCCTTCCAGATCTAGGAGATAATAATGGAGATTGCCTATTATACAGTTGAGGTGTATCTGGCCCTGTCACTGTGCAGGGGGCTGAATCTGATGACCTCTCAGTCCTTCCAGACCTGTATGTCTATGGATTCTATGATAGCATTCTGGAGGCTACAGCATGCAGTTTGATATTAAAACAAAACAAAATTGACGACACTTACCAACTTAGTATCCACAATTTCAATCACTTTGCCACTAGGGATAAATGCATTTGCTAGATCTTTAATACTATGAATTACAGTCTTCAACTAGAAGGCAAAATGTTTTAAGTTAATAGAGTTCAAGATAGTATATTAAAATGCAAAATAAAACAGAAAAACAATGAAAGCAAAAATTATAATCTTCAACCGTTTAATAACCCAAGTCTGAAATCCTTACTCACAGGTGTAATCTCATCTGAAATCAGGGGGATTAGCTACAATCCTTATTCATACCAATTCAGGACAGAGCCTGGATCTTTTCTTGTAACAGTAAGTATCTTAATAAGAATGACTGTGCTTGGTAGATACTACCATGGTCATCCACTGGCAATGTTTTACACTGATAATTTCTGCACACTTCCAGCCATGAAAGGGTTACATCCAGTGTTTTTTTGACGGTACACACCAGTACGGCGTACCATCATCTTTTTTGGGGGAGTACTCGCCACTTTCCTCTGGCACAGCCCCCAGCCAGCCCTAGGAGCACTCATGCCGCACTGGATAGAAGCACACTCGGGACCCATGGCAATTAAAGGGGCCATGACCACATTTCGGCCTGTAGGGATAACATATCAATGTATTAAAAATGATTCCCCCAAGTGGAAGTGACTCCCCATAATTTGTTCCTCACAACTTAAAGTGTTTAGATTTATTATTATTAGTTAAGATTGTTAAATGTTTAGATTTATTATTATTATTGCCCCTTTAGAATATAATGTAACTTAGAACTGTTAAGAATATAATCCTATGTAGCCAGAAACAGCCCCCCCCCTGTGTCCCAGGGCATGCTCAAGCTTGTGCAAGGGGCTGCTTGAAATTGACATTGCAGAGATACATTGTAATAATGCATTGTCAAGCCACTAACTCTGCTATGGGAGCCAAGACCTGTAATTGACTAAGGGCATTGTTACATAATTGACGCCTGTTCTCTTCAAAACAACTGTAACTAACTCAGCACTCAGACAGAGAATGTTTCAAGAAATGCCACCCAGAAACTTGACTTTTTTGTAACTACAACTCTTGAATATGTAAAGTTGTTATTATACGAAATACTGTATGGGAAACATTAATTAGGGAATGTATGTAAGAGAGAGAGTGCTTGGACGATGAATGAATGGTTCTGAGAGGTGCCAGCCTGAGAATACAGCAACAAAGGGCTGAAGAAGGCGTCAGGTGCCAGCGCAACCAAAAGGTGTCAAGTGGAGAAAACCAAGTACTGGAGGTCCACCCGATGAGATCACTGACGAGCACCTGGCAGCCACCCTGGAGACATCAGCATGATGCAGCAATTTCCATAGACTGGCATAGGAAGAAATTCCTATAAGAACTGGACTAAAAAACTATGGAATCAGAGTCCAAGGTTCTGCTGCCAGCCTACCAGGAGCTTCAGATGCACATCTGATCAGGACTTCGCTCCCCACTACCATCACTTGCGTACAGAATACCTGGCCAGTATTCTGTCACAAGCAACTTCCAGGCTGGTAACTATATCAAATACACAGAACCTGAATGAATGGATGAATGAATGAATGTTTATATGTATAAGGGTTAAGTAGTTAAACAACGTTGTTTGCGTCTATCTTTTCTTTATTTTTTTATTATTATCTTTACAATAAATGTGGCTTTTTGCCTTATCCCCCTCATAAGATCCTGCTTGCTTTTATTGGTATAACAGGCCCCGACTTCCCAAGCATTTTTTTGTTTTTGCTTGACAAATTTTCTCTGGCGTTTTTTTTTCCTTGACAAAATCCTAGAACTGGCACTTCTTTAAAAAAAAAAAAAAAAAAAAAAAATCCATTCTATTTCTTCACTTAGGATACCTCTAGACTGCAGAGTTTTTCCAGAGGTATGCCAAGGAACACGTCCATTCTTCTGAAAAGAAATGTCAGAAAAGTGGACGCGTTTTGTCAGCATCCTTGTAAACCTCAGTTTATGAGAAGGAAGGGATGTTCCGAAAGAGGGGGTTTACCCCCAAAATTTGGCCGTGTTTAGATGGGCACAATTCTGGAAAAGCCTCTTTTGGAAGTAAATTGGAAAAAGATACCATATTTATGTACCACAAATTGCGTTTCTTTTTCCGATTTATCTTTGTAGTCTAGACATAACCTTATTCAGCACTCATGTGCTTGAGTCTTTTCAGATAGGAAGGTAAAGACCCCTACTTTAGGAAACTTCTCAAGAACATATGGTACAAAAGCTTCACATTTGTTTCATATGAAAGAACATCACAAATGTAGTTATGTTATAAATGGTCCAACTCCACTGATTTGGATTACATGGTCTAAAATATACAAACAAAGTTATAGGCATGTCTATCTAAAAATAGATTTTTAAGACTTACATTTGGGCACAAGCAAAACTAGTTTAGTTTTGAGGTGTTGAACAGCTCCAGCTAACACTAAAAATCAGGGTAAGAAGCAGATGCCCAACCCACTTGGGGAAAAGCACCACTTCTAAATAGAAGCCTAAATACAAATTTTAAGCCTAGAGACAAGCAGATGTAAAAATCTGACTGTACTTTTTCTGTTGGTTCAACCCAAACACATTTAAATGTTGTTCAAGAGCTATTCCTACCAAATGGAAGATTAGATGGGTTAAATGAACCAAACAGTGACCCTCTTACCACACAACAAAAAGCTCCCCCACAGTTAGTTAGGTTATATACAGTCTTAAGAGGACAACACAAGCATGGTGACGGGGAATGGACTATCAGCACCCGAGTCGATGTTTCCAAATTAGGGAGCAGGCACATTGACTGGTTAACATGGGAAAGTTAATACTACTGCTGTTGTATATTGTATTTGTGGATACAACACTTCAATCCCCAGAAGGCCATTACATTGGCACAATTTTCCCATAATTGTGTTTAGATTTGAAGAAAAAAAAATGGTAAGAAAAATGAAGTCCACCTCAGAAAATGTCACTCTTCAGTGTTCTAACTTACTTTATTTTATATCAGATTCAGTTCTGAGAATAAACATTTTGTAGAAAGAAATAATGTTTGCTTAAACCATTTTATTTGCTTTCTGATCAAGAACTTAAATTAGATCAGTTTAAAAAGTCATTAAATA